AGAATCGGCTCCAGTCCTGATCAGACTGTTCCCAGAAGAACTGCCTCCGAGTAGTCTCTTCTCACTGTCCAGATTCTCTGGTACGAGTCCTAACCCACCCTTGGTCAGTGCTGGTCACCAACAAGAAACTATGATTTTCTGGATTTATTGGTAAATTAACATTGATTTCAGAAGGAAATTCATATGAATTTTCATGAAATCAACTAGTAGAAATTCCAGACTCAGGAGGCTGAGGCAAAAGGATCTCCTGAGCCCAGGAGTTTAAGGCTGCAGTAAGCTATGATCATGTCATTGCACTCCAACCTGGGTAACAGAGTGAGACTCTGTATTTAAGAAATCAAAAAATAAAAATAAATCAACTAGTAGAAATATGAGAAACTAACATGGTTATTGAATACAATTGTTTGATGTATTCAATCAAAATGTTTTCATAGAATGGAAGTTAGGGATCAGCATAACCAAAGGTCTATGTTCCCTAGACATATAGAATCCCAAAACTGACTAAACATTATAATATGGGAAATAAAATTTTGCATATATGCAAAAATAGAAACTCTTTCAAAGTAAAATTAATTTTACAGTGGCTTTCCTGAGAGTGTTCTTAAGGGATTATCTTAAATGTTCCTCTATCAGATAGTCTTCCCTCAGGACAGAAGTTGAGTGATTCTCCCACAGTATATCTCCCATCATAGCATTTATCCATTTGTCACATTATTTGTATTATTATTCCTTGTTTAATTGCCTGGCCTTCCCCAATAAACTGTTGGATCTCCAAGGCAACCATGACTCTTCCTACCTGTGTATTTCTAGAGCTTAGCACCATGCCTAAAATATAGTAGGCACATAATAAATACTGATTGAATGAATAAATTAACACACAGCATAGTAAAAATATCAGCATCCCATATAGAATGATAATTTAAGACTACTGGAAAAAGAGATACCTCTGTACCTGAAATATGAAAAGAGACTTGCTAAAACGATGGTATTAAAGAATAGCTCAGAGATAAAGTAACTGGAGAAGGAATAAGTTTGAAACAAAAGACTGTAGCCAGGTCAAGGTCATCAAGGAAGTTCTTGATAATTGACTTGATTCTCAGTCTTATGAACACAAAGATTTGGCCTTGTTAATGTCCTGAGAATAAATTCAAACTTCATCTATCTTCACCTTAGGGATAATGCTAGTTGGGGAGTCATAAAACCAAGGGCTCTTTTCCCAGGTGTCCTGCTCTCCTGGGAAGAAATTGCTGACCTCTAGACCTGTTCACAAGGGTCTGGAAGTGCAATTGGTTGTGAATTTGATATACCTCTTAAAGTTGCTTTTGTTTAAGAAACAGTTTATAGAAAAAAGAAGTAGGGCAGTGAGTTAACATCTATAAAGTTACCTGTCTTATCATGTGCCCTATCAACTCATAGCTTGAGAGATTGTTGGAATGGAATCTTGAGGCCTATGTTTCAGGACAAGCTGAGTGACAACACTCTGTGGATTTGGGCTTCCTGCAGGATGCACACAGGCTTTGAACTAGAGAACAATATCTGATACCGGTTTATCAATAGTGAGAAAGCATGGGGATAGAAAGCAAGGGAAGGAAGTAGGCATGATTTCTCTCACTATTACACTGGATCACTTATACAAAATATGTTTGTCTTCTCTACCCACACAGAGAAATGCTTGCATCAAGTAATACAACAGTGGTGCAGCTAATTAGAAACTGAGAATATGGCCTGGCAATTTGGGATCCTCATGCAACAATCCCAACAAGCAAAAAGAAAAGGTACTGTATGGATGGAGAAACTGGTTTCCTATTGCACACTGACACTCGGGTCGTTCCAAAGGTCATCTCTTTATATGACCAGGTGCAATCATGTAAGTATTAAAAATCTGCAGCAACCCAATAATGATAGACCCAATTAAGAATATAAACCATTTTGTAATGAAGATTTGGGAGTCCTCACTTAAGTAAAGAATCCCAAACAGATGTGCTACTAGCTGTAGTCAAAGGAAAGAAGTTGTAAATATCAAATATGTCCTCATAACTAATTATATATATATATATAAAAAGAATTGCCAATGCTATTATGTTGTATTTCTTGATTATTATATATTTATATTTTAGAACCAATTTTCCTTCCTCTTTTTCCCTATTGTCTTACATAAGGAAAGCTAGTGGATGTTAAGTTTAGTTTTTCTATGTTGCAGAAAAACTAAACTAAATGGGGAATTAACATCACCCAGATATGAATATGGTGATGGAGGTGAGAACATCTGTATTTGTATAAAGCATAGCAGTATTACATTAGGTAAGCACATTGAGTGATTATTGTTGGTCATAAAAGGTGGTAGAAAGTTGAAGAGTGTGCATGTATGCTGAATAACTAAGATGGTGATTCATAAAATGTTCATGGCTCCAGATCCACACTGGTAGTAGTGCCAGTGGGAGGCACTACTAGAAGGATGGAAGCAGGAAGAAAGAGAAAACGTCCAGCTTTTAGCTTCAAGAACTGAGGTACATACTGACAGCTGCTACTTCAGCAGAGGGGTAAAGAGCCTGCAGCCTCAAGCATACCACACAGCAGAAGCATCCCTTCTGCCTGTTCAGCCCTTCAGTAGTGGGATGTTGCTAGCATTTTAGCTCTGGTTAGGACATCATCCCTTAATGGTTCGAGCATCAAATCAGCAAATGCAACAGAAGCAGCAGCTCCCTGTCTATCACCCTTTTCGCATCTCAGTAACCATCACCTTTTCCTTCTTGTTCCTTCAGCTCTTCCAACACCTTGAAACCAAACCCTTGTATAAAATATCCTCTGTCTTAAATACCAAGCATATTTGCCATTTTACCAATTAGATCTTGGTCAATATGTTTTCTTAGGATTAAAGCTTTCATTTATTTAAATGAGTTAATACTTTTAAAAACCTATGACTATGGCCTATTTTTCTTTTAGAGGCTAACCTTGTACAATTTGTCCGATAAGTCCATTTCTTTTATTCTACATTTTCAGGGAAAATCTTTTTTTTACTATCATGTACCACTTATGGCTCCATGAAAACAGTGCCTGCTAGCATCAGT